TGGACACACACACACACATACACCAAAAAATCAATGCTCTCTTCACTAGCTACCAATAAGTTTCCAACTTTTTTTTAATACAATTATAAATAGAACATGTACAAACAAGCTTTAAATAATTTCCAGAAAAAAACAATTACAAAATAATTATAATTTTCCATAAGCATTTTTGAAATCCCTTGTATTGGCAGCAACCAAAAAAAAATTGCTAACATTTCCAGACATTCTTGCCTGTTGTCCTCTCTGACTCTCTACTTTCTCCTCCATCACTTTATTGCTAACAGCTCTTCCAGAAATTACTTGGTCCATTAAAAGTTTTCTTTTCTTTTATAAGGAGCCAAGAATACATTATTACAATTTTCTATGTGAAGTATGCTATTAAATAATAGCTTGTATACTAATTAAAGCAAATGTAATTGTGAGAACACATTGACATTGTTAAAGTAAATTACTCAATTTGTTAACAGTTTCATTTCAAGTGACCCTAATTGTATTAATTGTGATATTAGGAAATTAAATTGAAGAGCATTAAACACATTGTTCTAATATATCCTAAAGGAAAAAACTCTCCATTACATCAGCAGAGGGAGATGCTGGTTAGATGTCCTCCTGGACCCTGCACACGAGTGAACACACACACAGAGTCCAAGGGACGAGGTGTCCCAGGCTGTGGATAACAGGGGAAGCAGGGCATAAGGTGGACCACACAATAGAAACAGAGTTTTGAGAATAATGGCAAATTTTAAGGTATTGTTTTACCTCACATGAAGCAAGGTTTGATTTAACAATTAAATTGTTAATTGTTAACATACTCCGTGTAAGGAAACAAACTGGTATGGAGGATTATAACAAAACCAAATTTCTGAAATACTATAGTATTGTATGATTTAGGCATTACTTATTACATCTCCATCATGAAGTTGGAAGAATAAGTATTTAAAAAATGATACAACATGAAAACAAATCAAAAGGAACTGTAGGGCCCAGCACGGTAGCCTAGAGCTAAACTCCTCACTTTGCTTGCACTGGAATCCCATATGGGCACCAGATCCAATCCCAGTAGCCCTACTTCCCAACCAGCTCCCTGCTTGTGGCCTGGAAAAGCAGTTGAGGATGGCCCAAAGCCTTGGGACCTAGCACCCACTTGGGAGACCTGGAAGAGGCTCCTGGTTTCAGAACAGCTCGGGAGTGAATCATCTGACAGAAGATCTTCCTGTCTCTCCTCCTCTAAGAAAAAAAAAAAAGTAGATAGGGGCCTGGCGCAGTAGTCTATCAGCTAAAGTCCTCATCTTGCATGTGCCAGGATCCTATATGGGCAACAGTTCTAATCCCAGCGGCCCCGCTTCTGTTCCAGCTCTTTGCTTGTGGCCTGGGAAACTAGTCGAGGATCACCCTAAGCCTTCGGACCCTGCACCTGTGTGGGAGACCTGGAAGAGTCTCCTGGCTCCTGGCTTCAGATTGGTGCAGTCCCGGCAGTTGTGGCCACTTGGGGAGTGAATCATCAGATGGAGGATCTTCCTCTCTGTCTCTCCTCCTCTCTCTATATCTGACTTTCCAATAAAAAAAAAAATCTTTAAAAAAAAACTGTGCTTGCCTGAACTGATATGACATGCTGCCTGCTTTAAGAAAAAAAAAAAAAAAAAGAAGAAAGAAAGAAAAGAAAATTACAAAAGATTTAAGGAAGAAAAGGAAGAAGATACACGATATGGCAAAATCTTCTGTATTCACGGAATGGATGAATTAAAATAATCACTGTCCACAGTACTCAAAGCAATGTGTAGATTCAGCGTCATCCCAACAAAAAAGCCAAAACATGCTCTCAAATCGGGGGGGGGGGACCTTAAATTTCATATGAAATCATTCAAGAGACCCTGAGTGGTTAAGACAACCCAAGACAATACAAAGTTGGCTGCATTATAATACCTGATCTTAAAAGATTAAAGGGCAATTATAATCAAAACACCTTGCTGCTGATGTAAGAATAGACGTGTCAACCAATGGAAAGGACTAGAGAGCACAGAAACTAATCCACTCATCTGCTACCAAATGATCTTTGACCAACAAGTAAAAATCACTACCTACAGAAAAGCCAGTCTTTTCAGCAAATGATTGGGAAAACTGGATCTATGCATGTGTAAATATGAAATAATTCCCAACTTTACATTTTAAATAATCAACTCACAATGGAACAGGACTCTAATTTAAGACCTAAAACCCTCAAATTAGTAAAGGAAAACACAGCAAAAACATTCCAAGTCGCTGGCATAGGCTAAGACTCGGTAAATACAAGCAAAAATCGACAAAAGAGATTACATTAAAGTAACAGCAAAGAAAACACTCACCAAAGAGGAAGCCAAAAAGAATGGGAGAAATGATTTGAAAATTATACATGTGATAAAGGATCAATATCTAGGATATATAAACATATCACGAAATTCTACAACAAAATAATCTAGTAGACACAGCTAAGGATGTGAACAGGCAATTTTCAAATGATGACAAATAAATGACCAACAAACATATGAAAAGTTGCTCAGGATCCCAAGCCAGCAGGAAAATGCAAATGAAAACCTGAATGTGGTCTCACCCCAGTCAGAACGGCTAACATTCAAAACTCAAAGAATAAAAGCTAGTGGCAAAGATGGGCAGGGACCCACATTGGTGGGAATATTAACTAGCAGTTCACACACTGTGAAAGGCAGTATGGAGATTCTTCAGAAATCTGAAAATGTATATATCACATGCCCAGGCTCCTTATCCTGAGAAATTTAACGAAAGGAAATGAAAGCAGTCTATCAAACTGTTTTCTGCACACATGTTTACAGCCAAAGTTGACATAGAATCAACACAGATGTACATCGACTGATGACGAGATAAAGAAGTTACGGTAAATATACACTATGGAAAGAAACTCAACCCTTCCTCTGCCCTCCAAAAAAGAATGAAATCCTGTCTTTTGCAACAAAATGGATGCAACTGGAAATCATTATGCTTACTGAAATAAGCTTCTCCAAAAATGACAACAATAACAGGTTCACAATGATTTCTGAAAACTAATGTACAGAGTACACAAACGTGTATGTCTGTGGGTGAAATTGAAATACTCAGATTTAAATGTTGCCTATAACCACTGTGTATACACTTGAACAACAGAGGTTTCTCTACTTACAAAAAACAATTCAAACACTCAAAAGGAAAATATCCTTTAAGATTACATATTCATATCTAGTATACATTTTACTTTCCTTATCTATTTTCCTCAATTACTCATGAAAATAATAACTCTCCATTTCTATCCTATTTATATTAAATTTTAAAATCCTAAAAATCATATTAACAGTCAGTATTGTTTGTAAACATTAAAAATCATATTTTAGAAATGGAAGATTCCTTTACTAATAGAATACAAAACAGGAGTTTTATAAAAAGACAAATGATATTTACTCTGGGAATTAGCTATATAAGTGCAATATTTTTCTGGAATTTAAGCCATCCAGTATCCAAGAACTTTCTAATGATTTTGACAGAAATGTGTAAAAAGATCCCAACTTGAAGAAACCCCAGGGAAGGCACATATTAGAAGAAACAAACAAATGAAAGGTGATGAGTCTTCAAGGAAATATGACAACCCTATTAAAATGCAACACATATTTTTCTACAAAATGGTAATTAAAGAAGATGAAATAGATGCTTTGTATGTTCAAATATACAATGCACAAAACCCACTGTGGTTAGTAACCTAGTAACCTTGAAGGTTTTAGAATACTAGACATTTACATTTACATATCTTTCTTTTTTGCATGTGGATGTGTGTGGGGGGTGTGCGTGTGTGTGCGTGTGTGTGTTTTGTGTATATTTTTAACAGTTGACAGCTGTTTTAGAGCATACAGAGATGCCACGCTGAATGAGGGGCTTGATTACTTCAAGATTAGCTATCTAAAGTTTCTATTCATTTTAAGTGTTGTTAGTTGGAAGAGTCATTAGTCACTTCCTTGTCTCATAGAACATCAGCATACATTTACATTGTTAATGAACATTTGGGGTAAATGAATTAATGGCACTTTTAAACATCAATTCAGACCTAATAACTTAGTATGTCACAGAAATGTTGGGCTGGGATATAAACGAAATGTCTTTTCAGTAAAGGTAACTACTCATTCCTGGAAACAATAAATGATAAAATTAATTTAAAATAGTTCTTAACCAGGTTTAAGGAGGAAAAAAGAAAAGAAAAAGGCATTTAATGAAATATCAGAGGAAAAAATATAAACTTGAAAACAACAATGCTTTGAAGCATATAAAACAATTAGCTTAAAAACATTTAGTGATAATGTTTTCTATATTTGTAACACAAAGACATATTAACCTGAAAATGCAATTATAGCAGTTTTTCATGACAGTTTCACTGTTTAATACTGAGGACATCTGTCGGGCACCATTTAACAAAAAGTACCCTAGGAAAGGTATCATGCTTATCAAGAAGATAATAAAATAAAACTGAAACAGACACTATACTTACATAAAAGTCTGCAAACAGCATTGTTTCAGAATCCTTACTTAGTAAAATCACAGAAATAAATAAACTTTGCTATTTTCATTAAAAATCAATTGAATTTTTATAATGTAAAAGATATTAAAGATGCACAAAGACACAAACATATTGTAAAGAAATATCCATGCCACCCTCATGTGATGGCTCAATTGGCTAATATTCCACTTTACGAGCCAGCATCCCATATGGGCACTGGTTCTTGTCCCGGCTGCTCCACTTGCCATCCGGCTCCCTGCTTACAGCCTGAGAAGGCAGTGCAGGATATCCGACAGCTTTGGGACTGTTTGTGGTATGAATGTCAAGAGTGTTCTATACAAAACCAAGGAAACGCTGTTGGAGTTGCTCTGTTGGGCTTCAGGAAGGAAGTCACCCAGAAAATAGCCTGAGCTCACTGGCACTCTCACGCCCGCTCTGCCCGCACCCAGGCAGCTCAAGCACGGAGACTCACCTCCAGATTTGGAGTAACTCGACAAGGGATTAATGCCCACTTCCTGTTCTTCGGTTTGCAAGGGATGTCTAGTTTCAGATAAGGAATGATACATGTTGGCAACTGGACAATGTCACCAGAAGTTACTACCTATAAGGTGAAAACAATTAAGAGAGAAATGATTTTCCATTCTGCTATGACTGGGGATAAATACAAGACAAGATGATTAAATGAGCATTATAAACATTAACAAGTGTTTCACAGGCTCCAGGGACTGTTACTACACGTCGGCAGACTTATGCAAGGAAGCAAAAAGGTGGGATGAAAATTTCCATTTCAACAATTACTCCTACACACTGAAGTTTATAACCTTGATCCTAGTTTCAAATCAAATTTATTTTCAACAAACTTTTGTACAAAAAAGTGCTGAAATTAAAGAAATATTGTCATGGTTATACTTTTATTATAGTGATAAAAACAATAAACCTTCACGACAGAAATGTTTAAAATACAGAAAATGCAGCAAAATTAAATGGCTACAAATTGTATTAACCACAAATCTAACTTTTAACATTTCAGGACACACTCTTCCTATCTATATTCTGAGGATTTACAAATCTATATTTTTAAATTTATCATATTGAGCATGCTGATTATATGCTTTATCATGAATGCTTTCCTTACCAGTTTAAAAAAAAATGACTATTTTGTCATTTCTATGAAATCCCTGGCATTCCATGTGATGCTTTTCCAAATTCCTTTATATTTCTTTTACTGTAAAGGCACAAAGATGGTGATTATAAAAGAAACAAACAACTAGCAAGCTCACATCCACCAGTTCACTCCACAAACGCCATAGTATCCAGAACCCAGCCAGGCTGAAGCTAAAACATTGGGAATGAAGGAGAGGCCTCCAGGGAGCCAGAGGGACACAACTGAGCTGTCAACTGTCGTTTCCCATAATCTCCACTTGCACAAACTTGGAATCTGGATCCAGAGCCAGGACTTGGAGCAAGGCATTCACCACGGATCTTGGACACCCAAAGCAGCATTTTCCAGCCACTAAACACACATACAAGTTATCACAATTTCCAGAACCAATAGCTTATTTGCAAGCAATTAGGATAGTTTCAGTTGTTCAATTCTATGAACAGGCTGACAATGAGTATCTTTGAACAGAATCTGTTTCTTATTTGTCTTAAGATAAAATTTTGTTGTTTTTATTTATTTATTTGTATTATTTGAAAGGCAGAATGAGAGTGAGATCCTCTATTGGCTTTAAATGCCAGCAACACCCAGAGCTGGTCAGACCAAAGCTAGAAGGCAGGCACTCTGTCCGGGTTTCCCAATTGGCTGACAACTTTTGAAGGCATCTCATACTGCCATTGCCTGCAAAGCCAGCATCCCACATGGGACCTGGTTGTGTTCCAGCTGCTCTGCTTCTGACCCAGCTCACCGCTAATGGGCCTGGAAAAGCAACAGAAGGTAGTGCAAGTGCTTGGGTCTTGAATCCACATGGGAGACCCTGAGTAATCTCCCGGCTTTGGTCTTGCCCAGTCTTGGCCTTTTGGGAAGTGAACAATGGATCAAAGATCTCTATCTGTTCCTCTCTGTGACTCTGTCTTTCAAATTAATAAAATAAGTCTTTTTTAAAAATTAAATTTTTCTTATATAAAACGTGTTTTCCTCAAAGGTTGTCAACCTTTAACTTGCATGATATTTTTGTGGCTTCATCAAATTTTTATATTTACGTATCCAAGAGCATCAATATCTCAATATTTTATTTCTGCATCTGGTATGACAGCTACAATGACAAAATTACAGAAACTACCATTATATTTTTATTTTAATATTTTGAAGGTTTCTCTCTTAACGGTAATTTCTATAAATTACTCCAAATCCAGACTTTAAAAAACAAACCATTTTTTCCAAGGAGACACTAAGCTTTACACATTTTCTGCTTTCATAAGAATGAATTTATCTTCCCAAATAAGAAGTCTTAGAAAACACAAACCAGATTCACCCATTTTCATATGAAAGAATGGAGATACCATAATCTATTGTATTTTAAGAGTTAGGGGCATATGAGAAGAAGAAATGAGGACAGGTAAGTGGAGGGGCAGGTCTACCCAAAACACATATCTACTTGTACAGGGCACGGTTTTCATTTATGGAACCAAGGCTCCAGAGATACCCACACATCCAACACAAAATGCACAAAATGTATCCCGTCTATTTTCTTATTAAAACTGTAACCTTGTAAAACATCAAGGAACACTGTCCTACATTTTATCAGATTCCAATCCAGCTACCCAACCACAATCACGGTCAAATTTGAAGTCCTACCCCTCTAGACTCATGGGTAAAAAAAACAAGAGATGAATGTAATTCAGGAAAACAGAAAACATTTGCTTTTAACAAACATGTAAAAATTCCTAAAGCCATAAATTCCATATCAGTCAATCTACACAGCTATCTACACAGCTGTTTTTGCTAACTACATGTGCAAATTAATAAACACACATAGAATGCCTAGAAAAAAATCTAGGGAAGCAATGTAGAGAAGAGAAAAATGGTCAGCAAAAGTATAAAACAGAAACTGATAAAATTATGTTGAACAAATAAATGAAGAGATGAAGAAAAAAAGTCTGCTATTACAAAGTGGTGATCAAATTCAAACACCTATTGTGGTCAGATAAAAAAGGACTATTAACTGTATGAAATTTAAAACCAATGAACAACAGTTAGACACTCTAAATGTTTCTGCATATTATTTTATCAAATGATTATTTTCTTCATCCTTAGAGAAAACTGAGCTATGGCAAGACAAATTAATTTGCCTACAGTCACACAATGTGCAAATGTTGCAGACAGAATTTGAATCCAGTCTTTGCAGCTACATTCTTTCTCTTCCTGAACATTTAGTTCTCACTAACTCAGGCAATGAAACCAGCAGGTCTCAGTTGACATAGGATCCTCCGAGGACAGAGCCTGCGGGTAACTGGGTCCTCCTTTATTCTGCTTCAGCTTTTAAGACAAACTGGAAATCTAAAATTTTACATTAAATCAGTTTATCTGTAAATGTTGGCAAATCAAATGTACAACAGAAAAGATGTGGAATACATGAAACATGTTTCAAAATTGCATTTAGCTTGCAGGCAACCATTTTAATATAAGATCCTTACTCTTATACACATTTATAATCTTAAAAATATGAAAGGGAATACTTAAAAATGTATATTACAAGTTAACTGGTAGACTTTCCTAAAATTTAATCTTAAGTCATATTTTATAATCTAGTTAATTTATTATGTAATCTAGTTTATTACCACTGCTATATACCTTATGTACAAAAAATATAGAATAGATGTATTTCAAACTTTAGAGAAACTAAACAAGTGACAAGCAACCTCATGTCAAAGATTATTTTGAAAGGAAAAATTTAAATCCATTAATCTTTGTACAACTAAGATGAAATACCTGAAAACATAATGCTATTCATTCAAGGTGCTGAAAGATATTTAATTAAGAATCAAGAAGTCATTCAGCGAATTCAGTCTTTAGATAGTCCAAATTGGAGAAGCCGATAGTACTATTGAGTAACAAGGCTACAGAATTAACCTAACACACCGATCCACGGCCGCTCTATCAGGAAGTACCAGATCTTAAAGCATTATTTCTATAAGTTGGAACTGAAACATAGGAATGTTTTATAATGAAATAAAATAAACCTGTTGACTAGGAATAAATTATTATCAAACAAGCTTCTGAATAAAAAGGTATTAATATTACTAGTTATCCTTATTATGAGTACATAACCTAAATCAAAAAGAACTTACTGAAAAGTTAGTTTTGAATTTTGTTATTTTGTTTTAAATAAAAAGCACTATTTTAACTTTTTATAATATATTAAGAAAAACATTTTCATGTTGATTACTGCTGTTGTGTTTGCCTTCTAAAATCACAATAAATGCTCTTAAATGAGCATGAATTCTCTTAGGCTGTTCTCTATTGGAGGGTCTGGGGCTGTGCTGGAACATGACAGGCCATCACTTGTGACATGGGCATCCTGCGAGGCGGACAGATCCATATCCCACCTGCTTTATCAGTCTAGCTCCCTGGGAAAACAGCAGCAAGGGGTCCAGCTACTAATGCTTACGTAGCTTCAGGCTTCTGCTTCGGCCCAGCCCCACCACTGGCATGAAATGGTGTTTGAAGGATCTCTCTCTGTCACACTGCCTTTCAAACAAATGAATGTTTAGGAAAAATAATTGCTCAATTTGCGGTCCATGTATTTACATGTTTTTTAACTTTTAATTTTATTATTATTTTTACATTTTATGCTACAATTACATAGGGTCTAGCATTTCCGTACCCCCACCCCAACCAAATTCACAACCCCCCAACTGATTTTCCCCATATTATTACAATAGTATAGTCCTTCATAAGCAGTTATATGTCCATCAGTCTGTTTAAGTGTGTCCTGACATTGCTGGTACAGACAATGCCAGATAGTTCAGCATCCTATTGTTAAGATATATCCAACAGGTTCTTTTTTTTTTTTCCCAACAGGTTCTTTTGGAGTCCATCATTGATTTGGAAGTAGAGATGCATACTGCATTGCATCCTCACATCTGGATATGACAGTCTTTATTACACCATCACTATACTTTCCCTCACACAAGAAGCCATGAAACAAATTCAATAAAGTTAAAAAAAAAATTCACAACATGATGGAGTTAAACAACATGCTACTGAATAACCAATGTATCAGCGAAGAAATGAAAAAGAAAACACAAAAGCTTCTTATGTAAAATGATGATATTGTGTGATCTAGGAGTCAGTGAATAATTTGATAAGAGAAAAGAAACTATTTGGAAGAAATGAAAATAAAAACAAAAACATTAAAACACAACGGCTGTACCAAAGAAGTATGGAAAGGGTTACTGAATTACAATTTGTATGAAGGCTGCCTTATATCAGAGAACATATGGTATTTGTCCTATGGGGATTGACTTACTTCACTGAGCATAATTTGTATTCCATATATCTCTACATGATTTAAATTTTTATTTTATTTTTATTGGAAAGTCAGATTTACAGAGAGGAGAAGAGACAGAGAGGAAGATCTTCCATCCAATGGTTCACTC